TACTACTACTACTACTACTACTACTACTACTGTACTACTGCTACTGCTACTGCTACTACTGTTACTACTACTACTGCTACTACTACTACTACTGCTACTACTACTACTACTACTACTACTATGGATACAGCTGAAACTACAACCTACACTACACTACAGCTACAGCTACAAGCTACAACTACAAATGCAACAACAACAACAACAACAACAGCAAGAACAACAACTGCGGCTACAACTACAGCTACAACTACGGTATCAACAGCTACAGCTAGAGCTACAGCTACAACTGCACTTTCAACTACCGCTGCGCTACACTACGCTGCAATGCACTGCACTGCACCTACACGACACGACACGACACCACACCTACACGACACTACGCTACACTGCGCTACATTACACTACACTTATTACGCTACACTACACTGAACCTACACGACACTACACTACACTGCACTACGCTTATTGCACTACACCTTGTTACAACTACACTACACTACAATTAGGTGAGGTGGCCACTGCAACCACTCCAAAAAGCACAACTCCAACCACCTTTCGGTCCAACAGTGGATTCGTTCAGTTCTGCCATCCTTTCATCACGATAACTCACCTCTCCTATAGTTTCCTATCTTTGAACGTTCCGCCACCGCCTTGTGCGGTACTGCTGGTTTTATGCACTTTCAACTACCGCTGCGCTACACTACGCTGCAATGCACTGCACTGCACCTACACGACACGACACGACACCACACCTACACGACACTATGCTACACTGCGCTACATTACACTACACTTATTACGCTACACTACACTGAACCTACACGACACTACACTACACTGCACTACGCTTATTGCACTACACCTTGTTACAACTACACTACACTACAATTAGGTGAAGTGGCCACTGCAACCACTCCAAAAAGCACAACTCCAACCACCTTTCGGTCCAACAGTGGATTCGTTCAGTTCTGCCATCCTTTCATCACGATAACTCACCTCTCCTATAGTTTCCTATCTTTGAACGTCCCGCCACCGCCTTGTGCGGTACTGCTGGTTTTATACATCTACATTTGCCAAAATATCATATACATGCATACTCTAGATTTTATTTCAGTCGCGCGCGTCGGTTTCCAATTATTTAGCACCAAACTTGCCAAACATGTTCAAAAACTCTGGGTTGCTACCAATGTTGACGTCAACGTGATGTAAACATGTGGTTGATTTTGTGTCCAAACTAAAAACCTCCAAAACTATCACTGGTTGGTGGCACTGAGTGTCCTAAGTGATTCACATTTTCATTGAGGGTTGAACCCAACAACCAAATTTGTGTTGAATAGAACCACTTGGATTTGGAGATGCGTTGGGTCTTTCGCGCAAACCCTTCAATAATCAAACGTGGATCCATGGGAAATCACCGGTAAATGGCAGTCTACTGTGGAAAATCGATGAAAATCGTTTAAACAATGGGAATTTACAGCAAAACACGTGTGATTACCGGAGAGTAAATCCATGAATGTTCCGATTGTATCCTAGTTGTGGCTGATTTTGAATCCCAATTATCCATAATTATCCACATGGTATACATATATATAATATTTAATGCACATATATAATGCACATATATATATATATATATTCATTTTGGTTTTCTCCTATGGCCGGACTGAGGATCTGAACCCTGTTTTGGAAGTCAAGACCGCCAGCATTGAGGTTTGATCATACTTTGAAGCAGAGTTCGCCATGACTGTTCAGGGTTGGGCTGTTGGAAAGGAAAACAACTGAAAAATGAAAGAGGTTGGATATAAAGTACTATATAAATATGAGACAACATTAGGTCAAATAATATGTGTATGTACATATATATATATATTATGATTATTATATGGGAATGGGTCATTGCCTGTTGTATCATGTTTTGGGGAATGACCATCCATTTACCAACTAATTAGGCGTGAACAGAAGGATACCAAAGTTTTCATGCACCTCCATAAACTATAAGGGTTATATAATGTATACATATAGCAATACATATGATGGGACACATTACCAAAATTATGATATAAGGGTTTGTTTGAAAATGGAGTATACTGCAGTATACCCTCCAAATGTCCATTTTCATGCGGAGAATGAGGTTCCAAATTGGAATTTGGGGGTATCCTATTTTCGGACAACACCATTTTTTCTTTTGTGTCAGAACCATTCCCCTTTCTGCGACCAAAAAAAATGTCTATCCAATGCCTTTCATCATTTTTGACTTAGAAAAAATCATGGTGAGTTCAAAAGACTAACCATGTTCCTATGTCGCACCAATTTCTATCATGTTCTGTCTATATGTGTGCGGATGTAACCCCAGAACAGACAAAAACACCTATTGCATGGTACGTCTTGGTCAAAATCATCGACCTCACAAAATGATGTCAAATCTTATAACCAGCCATGGCTGTGGTTTCTTTTCTTTTCCGTTTCGGACCAATGGCGATATTTGATAATGGGGTATTCCGAAAAATTGCCAAAAATTATTGGGAATATGGTGATTACATGTGATAACATCATTAAATTGCCATTCTCTGCAATACCCTTCCCCTGAACGAAATCGCCAAGTTGGCAAACATAACTTTTATGAAAGAGAGAGAGAGAGAGAGATATATATATATATTATAACCATAGTATTCCTTGGGTTTATACATCCAAAAAACAGTGACTGGGTGGTTCTCAAATCCCATTCAATCCCCTTACCTCCCATTCAATCCCAATATCTAAGTCCCATTACATCCCATTAAATCCCATGAATCCACTGGTTATATATTCCCATGAATCCTTTGGCTATATATATATATATAATATGGGCTCATGGGCTCATAAGCAAACTGCAGCTGTACTTTTTCATAAGCCAGGTCTATCATGGCATCTTGGCCCTCCGCCAACAGGACCTTTGTGCATCTCATTTTTGGATCGTTGGAGGTTTCGTAAGTCATGAGGGTTCCCCCCAAATCATCCAAACTTGGACCATTTCAGCATTGAAACCCATGGTGACGCAATTGGATCCCCCCATTTTCAGAAGGGGGCATACAATCCCATGGCCCTTCACAGTTTTGGCCATGGGCCATGGGATTGTAACTCCTGCAACTAGTTGGTTATCTTATGGCCCATATCATTATGAACCAGTTATAGCTGTTAAGGGCTTTTTGAGTGTAGGTGTATTGGGCAAAAAGAACCCCCGCAACTGGTAGGAAGCTGGCTAATGCCTACGACCCGCGGTAGTGTCCATGCTGTTTCTCCAAGATTTCGGACGTAGAGAACCGTATACACCGTGGGTTCCTTGTTTGTTGGGGATTCATGTAACGAAACGAAACGGTGACACCTGGTAAAGCTGTCATTCTGTCAGGTGCCCCCCACGAAGATCGGATACGCTAGTAGTCGCTAAACCTCGGAGCCCAATGGTTTACGTCATGGTTTCCCTTGGGCCCCTGGGAAATCCACGGAGAAAAGTGGTGGATTTCCAGCACGCCATGTTTGATTGGAGGGTATAAGTCCCAGATAAGTTGCACCCCAGTGAATAGACCCCCTATTTGGACCCCCAAGTCAGATCCAAAAATATACCATGGTTTCGATTCCGGGCTTATGCCATTAGGGGATGGGATTGTATTCACTTACTGTTAGTGCCCTATCCAGCCACCATTTTCCTGATTAATTTTGCGTTCTTGATGGTTAGTTAAACCGTTTAAAGTTCAAACTTCCATGTTTCATTGTCAACCCCTACATTTTGATGGTAAAACTGTAAAACCCTCAATTTTAGATGGTTAAACTATGTTAAACTTACCATTTTTTACTGCGATGGATCAGTACAGCAAAAAAAGACCTACGACATTACCCACCTTTGCAGGAGACGGAAAGATATCTCACAGACTCCAGGCAGCAGACTGTGCTTAACAGTGGGAACAAGAGATATACTGGCTGGTGGTTTCAAACATGTGTTTTTGTCCATTTCATATATGGGATGTCATCCTTCCCATTGACTTTCATATTTTTCAGAGGGATTGAAACCACCAACCAGATCCTATTAAACACCCGTTAAATGAAAAGTTTAATCCCTCAGATCCCACCAAAAACCCACCCAAAAACAAGAGATATACAATTGTTATCATCAGATTCTTGGGAGAATCTATAGGGAATATGAATTGCTTGCTATTCTTCGGGATTCCACGGATATAGTTCTCCGAGAATTTTTCTTGGAGGTTGGCAGTAGATCTGATCTGCAACTAGTGGGGTTATAAATCAAGAAACATGACTGGGATGGCACCACATGTATGGAATTTTGGGGATCCAAAAAAAGACTTATCCACATTATAGTTGAGAAACACAAACCAATCATGAGTGAGTATAGTTTCTGATCGAAAGTACAGTATTCAATTTGAAACCCAAAACAGGGAATGCCATGAGTAAAGTATATACAAGAATTGTGAATTTTGTTGGGGTTTGCCTTCAGTTCATCACATTGGCACCTTACTACGGAGCGACCCTCTAAAAATACAGGCGCTGTTGAGTATCCCATGGATGGTCTGGGTTCCAATCAAGCCTTCCGTAGATTGTCACTACCCAGATCTGGAAAAAGCGGTGGATATGGTCAGCATAGGGGTTTCTAGGACATGTTCTCCGGTAATATGACTGGAAGGTCTTTGGGCAATGTCCAAGATGGTTGCGTCCATGGACCAATGGAACTCATTGTCGAATTGCTTGCACTCTGTTCCCTAAATCCGCTGGTTCATCATCATTATCCTTCTTAAACTTGCCATACGATGGATCTGCCATTCTTGGACTCAGACCCAATTCGAAACTGAATCACATATATATATATATATAATACGTATATATGTATATATACATGTATATACTATATAGATAATTATAGATACATTTGCATGTATTTGTATATACACACATCTAACATATGTTAAGTCAAGCCTTTCGCCTTAAGGGTTTCCAAACAGCTCAAAGCCGAGGAACATTTGCAAAGCCTTCCCGACTGGTTTCGCGGCGGCACGAGACTTGGAGAAGGAATGAGTTGCGGGTTGGGTTTATTAACAGTGGTCTTAAGATGGGTTAAGATGGCTGAATCATGGTTTTTAAAATGTTGTTAATGGGTACTCGTTATTTAACCGTGGCCGAATAATGGTAATTAATTGGGAACCCTTATTTAATCATGGCTTAATAATGGTTATTTTTGGAAATTACCGTTATACCATGGTGAACACCCATAAGTTCGGATATAGCCCCTGTAACTATCTGCCTCTACATCTACTTAGTTCATCGTAACTGGTACTGATCTGTTTTTTACCCCGGGTAGTTGGACCATTGCAATGTTTCGCAATAGCAGGGAGTATAAAAATCGTTTATAATATGGGTAAAACGATGCCATAAACCCCCAGTCATCAGCATTTTTATAGGTGGTATTTGTCCCATCCCAAACGGCTGGTTTATGGCATTGTTTTTTCCCACATGAATCATTTTTTTAGCGGCTACAAATAAACTTGAGGGTATCTAAGATTGGCATGACAATCCAGTACCATGTTGATGTTTCTATAGAAAACACTCATTTCTGGGATGATTATATGTGTCAATTTGAGCAAATCCATTCGACTGTTAGATGGCAGCAAATGTTCGTGAAGGGTTGGTTGTTGCGCACTCATTTGTAGCACTTATTGTAGGATATATATATATATTGTGTGTGATATGCAGCTAAGATCAACTAAGAGAGATTTGTTGCATTGTTTTACTATGCACATATATATAGGCTATATCGGTATCCAAGACTAATCATGTCATGATAGGTGCCAGCTAGGTATGAGAATCATGTGTTGTGGGCTGAGACAGGATTTATGTCCCATCACTTTGTGTTCGGGGGTACCTAGATCTCAGAGATCTCAGATGGTTGATGAGAGCTAACTATATCACTAACTAGTTGGTGGTTTGGAACAATGGTTATTGATGGTTAACGATTGCTAATGTGGGAAAAGAAATAATAGTAATATTAAGCCACTATAAACCAATCCTGGTTAGTGGTTTGGAACATGATTTTTCCATATATTGGGAATAGTGATCCCAACTGACGAACTCATATTTTTCAGAGGGGTGGCTCAAAAACCAACCAGCTAATAAATCTATTCAGGCGGGACATTTACTTGACAAATGATGGCAAGCGACCAATGCATGAGATCTCTCTGTTTATGGGTTGGTATACCTGGTTGTGAGGCGTGGTATTTTGAAGATGGTATCCTCTACACCACACATTGGTCCCTTGAAGGCCACAGCTAGGTGCCAGCACTTTGAAATGCATTCCCATCTATAGAATATGATGCCCTTGTGAGCTATAGAATATGATGCCCTACTAAGATAACCATAGATAACCATAGTTTACGGTACATGTAACCATAGTTGCATAATGGGGTTTATAAGCCAACACATATAACGGGGGGAATCACATTGCATACGTTATCATATCATTACACTAGTTGGTTGAGAACGGCTTCCCTACTATGGATTATCATTATCCCCCAAAAATTAGGTAGTATACCTCCCAAACAGTTAGCCAATCAAGCAGTCATAAGTTGGTTTATAATCCCCCATGAATACTCTAGTTATAAGATGTTACAAGTATCATAAGCCGTGGTGAATTTTTCAGTTATGTTCACCAACCAATCGCTATCATAAATCAGCTCTCTAAATCCCATGAAATCCATGGGTGGTTTCTTGGTTAGAGCAGCATGTTCCAATGTTTTCGGGCCCCACTTTTTTTTCACATACCCTCTGGTAAACGTTTACATAACTATGGAAAATCACCCATTTTCTAGCTGGGTAAATCAACTATTTCTATGGGCCATGTTCAAGTTCGCAAACTGTTGGTAATTGAACATAGCTATTGAAGCCATGGCCCAGTCGAAATAGTTGATTTTCCCAGCTAGAAAATGGTGGATCTCTCCAGTTCGCAAAATGTCAACGTTTACCAGGCCGGGTACATCTCCATGAATCCCAATGAAGATCACCATTTATGATCATTATTGAGCACTATTAACCACTATTAACCACCAGGTTTGTTGAAATGGGGTCTCCTGAAAACCTCCAAAATCTGCTGGAGGAAGAAGATGGAAATCCAGCGCGGTGTTCTCCTAGAGTCCTTCACAGAAGGCGGGGCCATTCGCCAAGACAGCCCGGTTGGTTGGATCATGTGGCGGCCCATAGCCTATGAGTCTTGGAAACTGGAAAATTATGGGATAAGAATGGATCAGATGGATTATGGCTATTGAACAATGGGATTTTACCCATTACAATCACATATTGCAATGATTGGTAATGTGATTATTGTTAATATCATTCCATTCACCGGTATTTCTTACTCTTCTGATTCTTAACTATTGTGTTTATGAATTACCCTCCGGTATGAATAATCAAACATGGCAAGCTGGGAAATCCCCGAACAAGCCATGGAGGTTTAGTTCCCTGGGAAAAGCAAGTATAAACACTTGATCAATGATTGATCAATGACAATTCAGTTGATGGGTTGATATACTGTCCCGATGGGGATTACCACCATCTATCCATTTTGGAAGTCTCCGTTTCCACTCGTTTCCTATCACCAACCAACGAATGGAATGACCTCTAGGTCTTCATTTGCTCCAATCGACTCCCAAAGGATAATGTGTTTCCGATTCTTTTTGGAAACCGAAGGTGATGCTTGAGACATTTATTATCACAGTTTCTTTTCATTTATTATTACTGTTTTTTTGAATTATTATCACTGATTTTTTGATTTATTATTGTTGATTTGTTTATTTCTTTGGGAGGGCCAGAGGTCTATTCACCCAATTAGATCCATTGTGGTTCAATCCTCATTAGCGGATGGTTTTTTAGTATTCTATAGAGATATATCAGCAAATTTGGCTGGCGTCATATATTTGATTTTCCCAATACATATTACTTAAGAATTCTATAATATTCTATTCTGTAGCAAGAATATATTACCAGATGTCTAGTTATATATGTTTATTAGGCTGATATCCCACACATTGAACTATCCAATGTTTGCTCAATTCATATCTCAATAATTATAGCATTGTTGATTCATCAACCTATGCTAGGTATTAGCCCAAGATCACTCAATTATTCAGAATTCTATCCGGTCCTTTTTGATTTCATGATTCTACCATCTACCAAACATCTCATATCAGCTACAAATTGGGATTATATAAATCACATATATATATATATCGCTAGGATAATCCCAAGATCTATTAGCTGTTGATTCTATCCTTTATTGACAATACTAAATTCATTAAAAAAGAATATCCATTAATTATAACATTGGATCCTTTCTATGCAACTGTGAATTATAACGGCCTCACTGTCCTCACTGTTTTCCCCGCCAGAATGATGGGAGTTGTAGGGGTAACCATCCCAAATTAGCCCAACATTTCAGGTGAGTGATTTTTTGGCGAATTAAACTATAGTTGACCCATGCAAAAAAAATCACATAAATATATATATATATATAACATGATATAACTATATATATATATATGTTTGTGAGGAGGTTCCATTCATCTGAGGCATTTTTGTTTGACCCAAAAAAAGGTTTCGTGGGGCCCCCCGCAAAATGCCAGGCCCTACGGGCGTGCAATGCGTTTTGAAAACCGCAGCCTCTGGTGGCCTTGAGACGGTGAGTTGTCACCCGCCGTGTGTTGGGAAAGGCTGCGGTGATGGTGATGAAAATGGTGATTTCAGCTGTTACCCTATATAGCTGATTGGTGACTGGAACATTTTTTCCCGGTTAATCTATGGTTAATCTATGGTTCATAATGGTTAATAAGTGGAATAACAATATATCTGATTGGTGGTGACTGGAACCATGTTTTTTTTTCTGTTTCCATATATTGAGAATAGTAACCCCAACTGACGAAGTCATATTTTTAAGAGGGGTTGAAACCACCAACGAGCTGGGGTAGACATAGAAACACATCTGGGAAAGCCATGGTTTCCTTAGGAAAATAAACTACACATGGTTGATTTTCCACATCTAAGTTCATTTACACCAGGTATAGGGTATGTGGGGGGTTAACATGCTTTAACTATGAAATATATGGGGATATAGTTGATAAATCATCGTTGATTGATGATTTTGGGGGTTATAGTATACCCTTTGTAGATTGGGGTTTATCATACTCCATGAACTGGGAATCCCGGTTTTAACCAAGCGGAATTAAACGGAAAGACATTTCGGTGTTTTGAACACTGCTCAGTTGGAGATTGATAGTTGCACACCGGCAATTCAAAAAAGCGATACCATATGTTGTGGATGGACATAAAGCCCCGCTCTTTTGGGATGCACTTGAGTGTCTACGTATGCATATAGTTGTGTATATATATATGCATACACAGGTAATAATGAGTTTGTATGATTTGGTCAGTAAAATGTTAAATCCCATGATCACCCATGGTCTCATGAGGGTGAACCACTACCATTGTCCACCAAGACTTTATCTCTGAGAAGGTTCCGTTCTCAACCTTTCCTGCCCATGTTTTTTTTCGTGTGGAGGCTGAGTCCAATGTATTCATTTGATTTCATATGGAGGTTTCCTGAAATAGGGGTACCCCTAGTTATCATCCATTTGAGATTGGGATTTTCCACTATAAACCATCCATTTTGGGGTACCCCCATTTATGGAAACCACCTATATATTCACCGTATATATCTATATATTTTTATTTATTTAATATACTCTGATATACCCATCCATGGAAGTGGCTTCAAGCCGAGGTAAGTTTCTGGTGGGCTGCGACGGTGGACATTCAAAAGTGAGGTGCTTATGCTGGGTCAACAAGTCAGTTGGGTCAATACATCAGTACCAACAAATCTCCTAATCAGCTTGCTGTTTTCTTGCAGGATAATGGTCTAGATTTGAAATTGTATAATATATGTATATATATATAGTATATAATATATATATAATATATATATAATATAATATAATATATAATATAATATATAATATAATATAATGTAATATAATATAATGTAATGAAATAATGTAATATAATATAATGTAATGAAATAATGTAATATAATATCATATAACATAACATAATTTAATATAATATAATATAAAATAATATAATATAATATAATATTATATAATATATAATATATAATATTATATATATATATATATATTTAATATAATATATCATATAATGTAATTTAATACAATGTAATATAATATATTTTATTATAATATAATATAATATACATATAATGTATATATATATATACCATATACGCATGTGGTTGGCCATATGGCCACTTCATCCCATCTTTGAACATGTTTGACCAAGTTTGAACTTGGCAAAAGAGGACACTTCTTTTAAGGCACAACTGTGGGAAGAGGGGATGGACGTCACGTAAAATCACATCACAACTTGTGATTTGGTAGTGATAATAGCTAGTGATTTAGATAGTGTTGTCATAGAATAAATAAATAAAGCTATCCTCAAAATTCCTGCATAAACTTGTAAATATCTAAAACTAAATAATATTTTAAAATAGTGATAACAGATAGTGTTTGTTTTTTTCCTCAGCAGGACATTTGAGGACCACAACATGTTTTCTGCATTTCTTATTCCTTGTTCAGCTAGCCGACCTCACCTTGTACTAGTATCATGAGATGCATGTGTACATATGTATACATATATATATACACATGTTTTTGTTTTTTATACATAGATATCTACTGTATATGTTTTATTTATGTGTCATCTTCAAAATCTCTGGAAATGTAGACCCTCTTGAAGATGATAGCCAGTTTAGCAAATATATAACACACGTATATACTCTATGGATCCAAACACTGCCTGAGAAGGTACGCCTAACCCTCCAAATGATAGTAAATTATACCCCAGTCCCACTTCCTTTCAGAAGGTACGGCTACGGCTGGATCCATAGGGATATCTATATATATATGTATACATATATATATATATGTATATATATATATTGATTTATATATATATATATACATATATATATACATATATATACATACATACACTTATTCATATATATATACACGTAATTGATATAGATATGAACGTTCCCTGGTCGTTGCTCCAACGGACGTCCTCCAACCGTCGTTCCTTCGTTTTGTTTTATGTCGTCCAAACGCCAGGAAGACGCTGGGCTTCTCCTTCGAAGGCAGCACCACGCCGGAGTATTTCTTCGGTGCCGTCTCGGGGGAGGGAACCGAGGTGATGACGGTGCTGGGGATGGGCCAACATGATGTTTTTCTGTGCTACGCTGCTACATATATCTGCATAAGAAAAAGACATGATACGATATGCTTTACCCTGCGGTAAATTAATATAGACCCTGGCAGATAGGGGTTGGAAGACTGGTTTCCGCTAAAAATGGTTTATTTTCAGGGTCTATGTTAATTTACCAGAGAGTAATATGTTTTTGTTACATATTACGTGATGCATGATGGACATTTGATACATAATGCGTGTGTGAAACTCTGGACGCCGGAGGTGAATCCACACGGGACCAGATGAACAAAACGATAAACGCAACTGGGTAAAGCCATTGGGAAGATGATCTACAAGGTGGTGCACCCCCAGTTATGAATGGGTTACAATCCCATGAAAACTATGGATATATCACCAACAAAAACCGGACTTATGAACCAACTTAGCGATTCCGAACTGGGGCACCACCTTGTACATCTCTGGTGGGTTTGAAAAAAAAAAAATCTGGAAGGCTCTTGTCGGAGTTGAAGGTTTCTGGAGCTTTGGACTCATAAGATGGGTGGTCAAATGGTGAATGAGCGTCCTTTTGGGGTTCCATTGCGTACGTTATCATTATACATACATACATGCATGGATGCATCCATACCATACCATACCATACCATACCATAAAATACATAAATACATAAATACATACATACATACATAAATAAATACATAAATGCATAAATACATAAATACATACATACATAAATAAAGACATACAATTACATACATCATACATTCATACATACATACATACATACATACATACATAAGAACATACATACATACATTCATACATTCATACATTCATACATGCATACATGCATACATGCATACATGTATATACATACATATATTTATTTACGTGTAGTAGTATCCCTAAGCCCGGCTCTTTGTTTACTAAGAAGCTCAGGATGGGATGGTTTCATAATCCTGTTGATGGTGAGAGGTGACTGAAGCCAATCTGACCAATCTCCCGCAAGGTTTTCATTGCAGTAACCTTCAAAGAGATAGAAAAGTAGTATATACATCAGGGTAGGATTTTACTTTCTATCTCTTTGGTGGGTTACTTACTACATTACTATATGTAGGTCCAGAAAGCAATGCCAATCCCTGCATTTTGGGACATATGTTGGAGTTCAAACTGCACACTTCAGTGATTCCGTGCGTGGTTTGGGCCTGTCTTGCCTCCCCGCTTTGCGTTAGGTTTGGATGCTTGTTTCGAGAACTTTGCGATGAACGACAAAGATGCAGCTTGGCAAAGGATCAATCAACACAGGACCAACCCCGATCCCCAATCTGAAGTATCTTTTTTCAGAGATGATTCTACACATTTCTATGCATTTCTATGTTTCAAGACATATAAGCCAGAGTCATCTCATAGTCATGACCACACGCTTGCCGAAACATCCTCGACTAGTCATGGTTTTCGAGTCCATCAGTCCATCCCCCGCTGGCAGCTCAATTGGGACAGTTTTATACAACACAATTCTGAATTAAGTGAACATATCAAACCGAAACCCTATGGATCCAAGTACCTCCTGAAAGGAAGTGGGACTGGGTATAATTTACTATAATTTGGAGGGTAAGTGCCTTCTCAGACAGTGTTTGGATCCATAGGGAAAGGTAGTCAGCAGTGGTTCAGCATATTGGTATATAAGTTTTATATAATATTGTGTTTTCACTGCGTGCTGCAGATGATTGCTACTGGAGCTTACTTACAACATGTGCGCTTGTGTCGCACATGTTTCTTTGGTCAAATGACCAATTCTACACCCCATAGTCAGTAGCGATAATCCTCGAGCCAGCCTTCGCCTGAGCAATCAACTCCCCCAACCTTTTACTGCCCAATGAACAGCAACCCCATAGGAAGAGGGGTCCAAAAAATAGAAGCAGCTTATTGAATCCATATCTTTTGTTATACATGTAATTATATTGATATGTAATATAGAATTAGATACAAATCATTGTGTTTATATGTTTGCATCTGCATACCCAACTGTACAAGTATGTATAATTGCAATATTCTGAATGCACTCTTTATATATATATAGTATTTTAGTTATATATATATATATGTACATACAGCATCTACAAGTTCTAATCTTGGAATGATCTCCGTAAATTTTGAAAAAACATTGCGTCCCAGGATGCGATATAATCCGTCGCCGCGATGTTTTTACTCTCCCAGGTCGCGTCCGTGTCCCTGACGCAAGATCAGGAGACGCCGCAGCCGGTTGGAATAATCCAATGAAAGAAACCAATAGCTGAGAGGTTTAACCAACAAAAATGATGGCTTAAGCAACACAAATCATGGTTTTAACATGTTTTTTTACCATGACATGTTGTGGTCTAACCTAGTCTAACCTACAAAATGCGGCCCAAAAGAACCCTGCGCTTAGGACCCACTGACGCCAGGCTTCGCCTTCAACATCCCCTTCGGGGATGGCAACTGCCTGCTGCTGCTCGATCCGACAAACAATGTCGTTTATCAGGATCACAGAACATATTTATGTATATAAATATGAGTATATATAGTTATATGATGTTATATGATACACTGACTAATGTATCAACATATATATATATACATATGTATTATATATATATATGGTAACGACATTTAAATATGGGGAGAACGGGCCAGACTGCGAGGCCCAGAAGGTAGTATAGAATACCAGTTTGTATATTCAAATGTAGTTACCATAAGTTTAAATGACTTGGATTCCGAATGTTTACATGGCCCGGCGGGCCAAGGAAAACCTTCCCGGAGGTAGTCTAAAATACATGTTCGTATATTTTAATATCCGTATATTTAAATGTACTTACCGTATGTATATATATATACATATTATGTGTATATATATAATGTATATATATACACATAATATATATATATATATATTATGTGTATATATATATTATGTATATATATATTATGTGTATATATATATATATATTATGTGTATATATATATTATTAGATTATTATGTACATATATATACATGTTATGTGTATATATGTATCTTATGTATATTATATATATACACATGTATATTGATGGGTGCTTCTCAAAATGAGGCACCCCAAACCAGCAGTTTCCCTGTTAAAGAGAAAGGTGTTGGATTTTTCTCGTGCCCCCAAACTTAGGAGACATCGGGAGAACATGGTGCAATTAACCGGGAAAGATTTGTGCGTATCTGTGTGTGGAGTTGGGTATAGCTGTTGTGATGAGGAATTGGTGACTGAGACTGGGCAGATGGTGCGGCAAAGTCACGGATCTTTCTACATCGGATGGAAGACAGCGGAGGTGGAGGAAGAGTACCGCGTGCTGAACAGATTGGAGTTGTGAAACCAGACGCTGAAGAATCAGCATACAGATGACCAGACGCTGAAGCGCAAACGGGAGCAGGCCGCAGAGAATTTGAGTGGCTTGAACTGGGCTTTCTAGCTCAGGTGGCAAGGGTCAGAACAGAATCCGGGACAGAATGTCAAACTTGTGGACCCCAGAACGCATGTTCGGGATTGTTCTGAAAACAAACCACTCGGACTTTTCTGTTTTCAACTGCCCAAGCAAAACAGGAGGTAAACCTTGGATAGTTTGGACAGCTTTTTGTTATTGTTTTATATACTATCCGGCTTACAAGAAAAATGGCATGACATCTAAAATTGGCCACGAACGTGCCGTTTTTCCAAGGCTTGTGGATGTGGATTTGCAGCAGCAGAAGGAGTGGGTCACAGGACAGCATCACCATCAATGACGGTAGCGGCAACCACCCCAGACTGACTTCTTTCGAAGTTGTGTTGTGTCTACATTCATATTCACACATGTACGCACATATTAACACACATTGTGCATGCATTACACTACACATAATACATCTTCACAAATACACTGCATATGCCAAAAAAAGTGTGTTTCGGTCTTATATGGATTTACAACCCTATGGATCCAAGTACCTTCTGAATTTGCTTTAATTTGGAGGGTTAGCCGTACCTGCTCAGACAGTGGCCATGGATCCATAGGGCAGGTACATCAAAAAAAACATGTACAGGATGGGGGACCATAGTTAGCTAAGTTGGTGCAAATAACTACAATAACCATAGTGTATGATACTTATAACATCTTATAACTATATTTGGATGGGGTTATAAACCAACAGACATAACTGGAGGGCCCCATCCTGTACAACAGCCGACAACAGCCGTACTCAATGGTGGCCTAACGGACGGCCAGGGGAACTGGACCGCAACGGTCTACCGCTCTTGCGGCAGCCAGAGGCCGCAAACCGGTTTTGACCCGGAGGGTGTCATGAAACATAGCTGGAAAACGCCGGAAAATCTCTGATTGATTGATGATTTTACCATATTTTACCATTAAACATATTAAAACCTGAGATTGATAGTGGATTTACCAACTTGCCATGTTTGACTACCGGAGGGTAAGTGAAAGGATGATGGGTGAAAAAAAACTGACTCTCACTGAAAATCATCGGTGTAAAAACTACTCTATCATCCCTTCACTAAAAGATCCTTAAATTAGTGAAGACGGGTGACGACTTGTTCACTGTATATTCATATATATATATGTACCCTAGTGCTCCCAATACCCTCTGAGAAGGTGTTTAGACCCCAAGAAACAACTCCAAATACAGTCTCAGAAGGCGTTTGGAGCTGTAGGAATATATACATATATATGTATATTAAATATATATATTTATTTACTGCGTTTGACATTTTATTGCGAAGAATTAGGTAGTAAATGGGTAGGTTCCCACATCTAGTGGTTCCTCATCCTAGTCCTAGTCCCCATTGAAGTTGACACAGAGCATTGCACCTCACTTTGACATCCCCAAATATCATATGATTGGTGAACCAAAGGAAGTTTAGTTTGAAAACTTCCGAGTTACGGAGGGTTGTCGTGGTGCATGGTGAGCATTCACATCATCATGGCAACCACCCATCATCCAGTTCCGGAACGCGTGGATTCACGGGTGAAAACACTTTCGGGCGCGAAACCCTGTGTTTATTCGGGCAATGTGCATCCTGGGGTCACTGAAGTAGGGTCTGTGCTTCTGTGGTTTCGCGCCTCAATCTGGGAAAGTTGTGGACAAAAAGCGCACAGGACGGTATAGCGAGAGCTCGATTTGCCGTGCTCGGAGCATTCTGGGAAGATCAGGTCGGCAAAATGTGCACCAGACTGTAGCGAGTGCTCAGTTTGCATTTTAAAATGTTTGACATATACTGTCGTCTTCGGAGCACTCTTGGAAGATGAGGTCGGCAAAATGTGCACTAGACTGTAGTGAGAGCTCGATTTCACCAAAATATCCTAAAGAACTGAGGTGCGCAGCGTAGGGCGGAAAAGTGTATATAATGTTGACACTGCGCCAAGGTTGGTTGATTTGGGGGTTTTCAAGCGGCTGTGACAAAGCGCATTGGCAGGGCTGCGCGCGGAAAAGCATTTGTGATGCTGCGATGCTCCTGGCAAGCGGGATTGCGAATTGCAGCGCGGGATTGAAACAGCTGCGCGAAGAGAGGACCTAGGTTGATTGAGCTACGAAGTAGCCATGGGCGACAGTTCAGAGCAGAAGTGGCCCAGATAAGAGGCTGCTCAGAGAAGAAGTAGCTAAGTAGCTGAGAGAAGAGGTGCCTCAGCGAAGAGGTCGCTCAGTGAAGAAGTAGCTCAACAAAGAAAGCAGCTCACTCATCCTTCCATCACTCGATCCATTCATTCGTTCGTTCATTCATTGATCTGTTGATTCATGGAATCGTTGGTTCATTGGTTCATTGATTCGATGATTCGTTGCTTCGTTGATGAAGCACATTATATACTGATTCACTGATTCATTGATTCAGTGATTGTTTCAGTGCGTCATTGACTCGCTGGTTTGTTGATTCACTGATTCATTGATTCATTGGTTTATTGATTCCTTGACTCGTTCATTGTTCATTGACAATTCATTGATTCAGTGATTCATGTGTTCAGTAAGTCATTCAGTCAGTTGCGCATGTTTTTTCATGTGATTTCATGGGCATGTCAACCACCATGAATGTGCTCATTCGTTGGCACCTCACAACTTCAACGCTTCAGGGTTTTGCATTTCTACGGGACGTACAATTACTTCTTACAACTTACAACTGGTTTTTTTTTGTTCGATACGTCCGCCTCGGCATGGGCCGGGCACTACTGTATCTGGTATTTGTAATATGTCCCATGTGGTTTTCGTTTTTTTGACATCTCATGAGTTGTACCCATGAATCAATATACACCACAATATTTTTGTCATATCCCATTGTATCATTGTATCATCATGTTGTTCCCCAATCCTCACCCCGTCTCTGTTCACCACGGAGGGGTGGTGATCCCCCAGCCATGGCCAGCTGGTTCTTCCGTTGCGGGTCCGCTGCGGCAGGTGGAAGACGTTCTGAAGGTGGCGCGCTCGAGGGGTCTTGGAAGCAACTTGCCACTTGGCTCGGCTCCGCAGGGAATGCTGAAGTTAGGAATTCAACCATGGCAATTATGGGAATATCATCGGAGATTACACGTAAAACACATTTTTATAGGAAGCATAGAGCGACCCAGGGCCAACATACAGCTGATCCCACGTTTGTTGGCGTCTCGGTGCAGCTGCACAGAGTAGTTTCGATGACCAACGGAATGCCTGTTCGGAGATCTGACATCCCAATGACCAGATGTGACGAGTCAATATCGGCACTCTTGCCACTGCAACGCCACTGTCAGATACTGTCAGCTGATTAGATCAAACGCTGGCATTTGGTAACGCAAGAACGTCTGATATACATATATATATACACACAGTTAATTGTAAAAACATTTATATACAGATATTTAGATTATATTTTGTTACATTACATTATATTATTTTATTTTATGTTATGTTCTATTAAAATATATATATATATAATATATATTATATATATATATATCTGTGCGTGTATTCCATTGTATATATTATATGTTTATTTAAATATATATATATATTATTCTATTATTTTTCTATTCGACAATATTGTATCATGTTATATTACATGATATTATATTGGACTGTAATTGGATTGTATATATTATATTATATTATATTTTATTATATTTTATTATATTATATTATATTATATTATTTTATTATATTATATTATATTTTACTATATTATATATATTTCATGTTTATTTATGTTTATTCAGTTTGTTTTTTATTTATGTATTTAATGTTTTTATAATGTTCAACATCATATGTATACAAATGGAAGTATATCATTGTATATCATATTTTCAATAAATATATAATACACACATGGATCGAGAAAATATGGAGAGAGAACAAATATAATTAAGATTTTTTCTATGTAGACATACATATAAATACATTCTCATATATATAACTATTTTTATGTACACACATATCTATACATACATGTTTTATGTCCATATATATATATATTTATGTATATATATATATAATATATATATAGGAACATCAATCATTTGTTGGGAGTATCATGGAAAATCGGTGGAGCGTCAATCATTTTATTGGGAGCTTCATATGAATTTCATGTAAAACACATTTTTATGGGAATATCATGGGAATTGGAATATAATAGCTGGATTTGCTGAGGATGATTTGGACAGTTTTCCCCATGTTAAAACCACTGTTTGTTTTTTGTTATATGCGAGCAGCAGCAACATTTCAGAAGAATTCGGCCTGTTGACTGCAACAGCTACTGCCTTCAACCATTGCGCGGCCTAAGTTGTGTTTCGCCGTGGGCTGTAAGCTAGAGCGACGCGGGCGATATCAACCAAGAAACCATGCTCTGCTGTGGCAGGAGCTGAACAATCGCGATTCGAAACCGGGCACTTCCAACGCGGTGAAGTAGGACCTCAGGCCCGTTGGAACCACCAGTGGAGGGTTCGCGAGGAAGATCCAGCAACTTGCCCCGCGGTCTTGCGCAGTGCTTCCAGAATTGGTCCAGAATGCCCCGCCATCCGTCGCAGCTCAAAAAACAGGCAGCTAGAGGGTGTTTTCGAGGCAGTGCCAGAGTGGCTTGGCCACGCCCTGCCTAGAATGGCATAGCCATCTGCCCCGCCCACGCGGTGTTCATGAAACGAATCTCCCAGATGAGACCAGCCGTTTTATATGGGAATTTCAGGATATCATGATTATGTGTTTTAGTTGGAAACTTAGCCAACACAATATCGGAACTTATTGGACACGAGGGGCAAATGAGGATTTTACGGTGGATTCAGCAGCAAAAACAAAGATAGGTATAATTCTATATATATTGGGGATATAATGAGATACAATGGGTATTCTATTTTATGGACTTGGGTAAAAAGTTCATCATAATGGGGATAGTATCGGCATACGTATGAATGGGATATACTCAACAATTTTGATGTGATACTTGGGCGTGTCCGAACATGGAGCATGCCAC